GAGGATTTACCCTCTGCATGCAAACCAGTTCAGTCTGGTATTTCTGTAAAAAGCAACAGAGAGTCCTGTGGCACCTTTAAGACTAACAGATATGTCAGAGCATAAGCTTTTGTGGGTGAATACCCACTTCGTCAGACGCAAGTGGGTATTCACTCACGAAAACTTATGTTCCAATACATCTGTTAGTCTTAAAGGTGCCACAGGACTCTCTGTGGCTTTTTACTGTAATACCAGACTCAACTGGTTTGCATGCAGAGGTTAAATCCTCAAATGAAAGGAAGTGATTACCATGATGCCAGTCATATTCTCTTTGAGAAATGTTTAAAATGGACACAGAATCCCAGATGTCCAGCATAGAAATACTGACACGTATTCCAGTTGCTGTTTTTCAGACAAAGCCATTGAGAGGGGCTCAAGGGGGCCGGTTGAAAAGGAAGTTTAATGTGAGTGGACAAGAGGTTTAGAAAGAGGCTATAGCAAGAAAGACATGGGCATGAACTAAGTCCACTCTTCCTTTCTCTCTTGGGCCGCACCGAGTTTTGAAACCTTCCTTCCACCAGCCCTTGTACCTTCTCTTTACTCTGGTTCCTGTTGTGTCTTTCAGGTTTACCTCCATCCCAGAAAGATGACTTTCTCCAGCCTGTGCTATCCAGAATGCGGGGTGGCCCGACCCAGTCCAGTCACTGGCACATGCAACGAGCCGTGCGTTAGGCAGTGCCAGGACTCCGAAGTGGTGATCAGACCCTCACCGGTTGTCGTAACCCTCCCAGGACCAATTATGAGCAATTTCCCTCAGCATAGTGGCGTGGGAGCTGTCGGAGCACCTGTGGTCGGACCCGGTTTCGGGGGCTCATTCGGTCATGGGGGATTCGGCTATGGAGGCCTTTACGGAGGATTGTATGGTTTAGGGGGATACGGTGGTTATGGCGGCCATTACGGTTATGGGGGATTAGGTGGTTATGGGGGATTAGGTGGTTACCTGGGCGGTTATGGTTATGGGGGATTGTGTGGTTCCGGGGTATCTTGCCATAGGTACCTCAGTGGAAACTGTGGGCCATGTTAAACGTGTCAGGAATATTTGTTGAACAAGGAAGAACCAGGAAATGAACAGCAAGATACAGATTCACGCCTGATCTTTTGGGCATGGCTTTCAGAAGTGCTGTGCAAACATTGCTCCGGTTGAACTCAGTGGCAGCTGTGTGTGCCCAGCACCTTGGTCTGATAGCCATGCTGCATTTCTACTGTTATGATTTGGGATTCTTTCTGCCAAGGCTTTGCCAACCAAGTGCTGATTCTTTTATTCACATAAGGACCCATTCTGAATTACACGCAGGCTGTTTAGACTAACTCCGCAATTTAAAGGAAATAGGGGCCTTAAGACAGGCATCAGCTACATTTATTATTATTTTATGTCCCTTGAGATTGGGAAAAAGAATGCATGCTGCGAAGGGGAATTGAACCCTATCTGTTCTATCCTTCCCATCAATACCTATCTTTAGCGTCTCGCTTTGACCTTCTCTGTGGCAGATGTTTGATTGAGAAGCTGCGTAGTCCTCTGCTTCTGTTTTGCTTTGTCTCACTTCTCACTGACTGGGGTAATAAAAGTCGCTTAAAATGGTTGCAGAGGGGACTTGTCAACCTCTACAGCTGCAACAAAAACAAAAAAAATTGTGTGTGAAATACATCCCATTGAGGTTGGTTATAGGATGCAGCACTTCTTATAAAACTGAAAATATGTTCGTTCTGCTCTAGTATTTTTCCTGTAACTGTGTACTGCAAATTTCACTCGCATTAAAAACTCTGATGCATCATAATAGCCGTCTTCTGGTTCTCCTTGTTGCTCCCTCCTTCTGTAAACATTGCCCTGGACAAAATTCGTCCCTGAAGAGCCAACAGCATCAGGCACTTCTCAAGATTGACTTTTTGAAGCCCTGGAGTGACAGGAGAATTCAGCCCTTGAAGTAGTTTACAGCATTATGAGGGGCTTCCATACTGGGGTGCAGTTCCACCTTGCATTACCTGTTTTAACAAAGTAAACTTAACTCTAGTCCGAACTCCTTGAATGGCAGAGAAACTTTGAGGACAAGATGCCTTTGCTTCTAGAGCACTTTGAAAGCTTGGCTCTTCTCTAGAAAGTCCTTTCCAACGGGCACGTCTCAAATCACCCTCCCCGTTCTATGGATCTTGCCTTCCCCAGGGTTTGGGTGTTTCTGCAGGGATTACTCATACAGACAAATGCTGGGAAAACTTTACTCACCTGACCATTTGTTATGGGTGCTTTATCTGGAGCCCTCAGACCAAATCAAATCTCATTTCCATCACTACTGCTCCTCCAGAGGCTAAGGCTGAATGTTTAACCCAATATATCTCTGACATGTCATTTGAGAGCATTTTGAATCATAAACTCTCCAACAGAGACTCTGCTGAAGCCTCATTATGGAGTCAGCAGCCCCTTTTTTAGAATAATTCTCCTTTTTCGTGAGAGGTGTACGTTCAACCAGCTCTGCTCCTTGACACCAACTTTGCACTCACTTTGCAGTGCTGGAGATGAGCTGACAAGATTTCGGACAATGGGGCAAAACTAGTTCAGTTTCACACCGAGATTTTGGATTTCATTGCACCAGTAAAACTCAGTGAAATTCATCTTCTTCTGACTCTTTGCCCACATGTGTTCATCTACTGGCCAACAGAAACACCCATTCCTTGGTCAAAGTATGTTGCAAACACAACTGACTGCTTCCGTTCTGCCCGCCTCAGTTCTGCCCTTATAGAAAATCGACACTACACCAAGGTTATCTGCAGGAGTCATGAAAGACAATGGAGCAAATAATTAAGGAATCAGTTTGCAGACACCTAGAAGATAATAAGGTGATAAGTAACACCTTAAGTGGATACCCAGAGGGAAGCTGTACATACTGACGGTCAAGGCTGAGTAATCACCTGTGCCACCAACTAATGAAACAACATGTGCACAAACCTCTTAAGACACAAAAATCCAATTCTGTTCTTAAAAAAGGTTCATTTTATTAATGAAAAAAGAAGAAAATACGTCTGGGAGCTCAGGCTTTTGCTCGATGTAAAAAGAAACAACTACAAGGATTAAGCATCAAGAATAGCTCTCTTGAGATCCAGCTTAAAAGTTACAAACAAAACAAAAGCACCTGGGGTTAGCACAGAGGAATCCACAAGCCAAAAAGAAATAAAAGGGATAAGCCTCATCGTGTCTTTCTAGAGATTTCCTTATCCAATTACATATCTGGGGTTTTAGGTGAATAGTTTCTAGCTATGATACTGATGATTTTTCATACCCGGCCCAAGCTTCTCACAGCATAACTTCCCCCTGTCTGCCTCTCCCCGAGAACAACAGCAGACGACAAAAGGGGAGTCTTGTTTTAATTTTTAAAAGTTCTAGCCTTCCCTTTGGCTCTTTTGGACAGGTGCCCACTCACTTCCCTTTACCTACGCAGAGCAGTGAGACTTTTTTACCTTTTATAGGGAGAGCAATTAGAGAACAGCTACTAAGAGGGATTTTATAGCTCCTGACTGGCTGGGTGTCCATAAAGGGGAGCTACACCCCACCCCGCGCCGCCCCTTCATTTATCACAGCTTGGGATTTCCAGTCCATTAAAAAAAATGTCACATAGAACATGTCTGGGACAGCATTAATAGTGCTAGTTTCCTTGTTAGGATGTAACCTCTATGGACAAATGGGTTCAGTCCAGCATCACAAGGGCGTGCTTTGGTTTGGAAATCTCAGCGAGTCACCAACACTTGCTGATGAAATTTCGAAGGTGGAAGTTTTTGATCCAAATAAAATATAAACGCCATCCCCTCCCGTGGTGTAAATCTACTCTGTTCCACTGGCTTCGCTGGAGCCACACTTAGTGCAGACAAAGATCTGCAGCTAGAATTACTTCTTCACATGGGAACCTAGCAGTTTCCAGGCTGGAAGAGACGAGTGGCCCATCTAAGGCAGTATCCTGTCTCAGTGAGTGTCACTCACCAGCTGCTTCAGAAGAAAGCAGAAGAACAATGAATTAGTCCTTTAAACAGCCAATGTAGGGAGTTTCTTCCAAAATCCTGAATTAAAAATTGGGGTGAGATTTTTCAGAGCCCCCTAGGGGATTTGAATGCCCAAGTTCCAATTAAAATCAAGAGGATCTACTCTCCCTAATGTATGTCTTGCTCTGCAAAGCCAAACATTAATTTCTGAAGCATGAAGAAACAAACTCCTGCAACCTGATAATGAAAAAACAATTGAAAAACCCTAACCCCTCCCCATTGCTATGAATCACAGAGTGTCTGTGCAAGATTCAGTCCTAAATTGAAAGGATCCCTAGCACATCGTCTGAATGGCTATGGACAGCCATTAGTGGAACAGGACTTTTTAGTTCACACAGGAGAATAAGCACAAGTGGTTAGAAGACTCCTGAGCCATGAGTGTTTTCAGACCGTTTTTTAGACTGCCTGGAGGACTCGAGCGGCCCTTTGTTCCTGAAGGTCTAATTAGTTACAGACCAAATTTAGATAACTTCTTCCATTGATTTCATATTTTTCCGCTGTTTTTCACAGTCAGTTTGTTCTTAACTCCACGTGGTCTGATGTGCACATTACATCC